AATCTAATCTTGAGATACTCGTATAAAAATAGAATATGATGGATTGGAAATGTTTGTAGAATATGCCGAAGAGAGGTTGCAACCTATTTAGTTTTTAATCTAACGTACCCCTCTTGCTCCAAATGCGAAAGGAGCATCAATTCCTCATTGTTGACAACATAAACGCCGAAAAAGGGCCCAAGAGGGTTTTAATTAAAGCCGACCCTCTCCGATTCCCCCAGTCAGTGGTTTCAATTCCGTAACATCATCGTAAGGGCGCATGCACTGATCATGAGAGGGGCTTGCATGCATACAATCTTTTGTACGCTTTCTAATTGAAGCAATAGCAAAACTAATTTTTTGTTTGTCTTTTGGTAATTATTTCTTGAAGTAAAATATAATTAATACCAGGAGTGAGAACTGAAAATCATATTTAAAATTGATTATTTCAGCTAAATTATTTCTTGTATCAATATAATATAATTTTCAGAAATTAATTAATTAGACCAGTGATGCCCAATCCAAATCGTTTGATGGACCAAAAAAATATTTCTGTTCTTAAGTGGGTCACAAACATTTTAATAATAATAATAATAATGTTTATTGCATAAGTTGTACAAAAAAACAAACATATACAAAAATAAAAAGAACAAAATAAATATATATAATTTCAAAAAAGTCAACTGTTACAAAGGGCAATTGACCATACGTAACATGTGTCATAATTAATGTCAGCGGTCGCCAAACTTTTTGACCTCACGGACCAGTTAATTCATAATTTTAAATCCCGTGGACCACTAATAGGATAACTTAACATGATGAGTAAGTATATTCCACATTTTTCTGCGGACCAGCGAAATTTTCTCGCGGACCACCACTTTGGCAACCGCTGGTTAATGTGACACTTATTTTATATACCAAAATTCAAAATATAGAAAGATGAAAACTTAAATTGGGCCCATGAACCGCAGGTTGACCATGCCTGAATTAGACCATACATGAATACCAGACTTCTAGTGGCAAGGAAGCAACTGTGAGACATGCAATAGAACTTAGGATAACTGTATATTTATCAATTTTCATATTATTTTATAGTACTAGGGATATATTAAAAGCAATCCTCCCCGGCGGGGAATCGAACCCCGGTCTCCCGCGTGACAGGCGGGGATACTGACCACTATACTACCGAGGACATATAATACCAATTTTAACTATATTTATAATTTCTTCAAGTACTATATAGTACAATTTATCGGGATAAAAGTATGTCCTTGTATTTAAAAAATGAACCTAATGCAGAATATTAATTATGGGTACGAGCTGATTTGTTCTTTAAAGTAAAAACTCTAAAGATCTTTACCTAAAGTTATTTGTATGGGACCTCTTAGTATTAAATATATGTTTAGGGTGGTAAAAAAAGTTATAATCATATGACCCTTTGAGCCAGACTAAATACACTTGATAATTGTGTGAATATCCAGGTTTGATATAACGTTATGCAAAGGATAATATTCGATTTATGAATTTTTAATTATAGTAAACAATATTCTAATTTTTGTTATCACTTGATATCTTACTTTGATTAGGAGAAAATCATAGCATTGATTAAATTTAAGAAGTTCATATAAATATAAAAAGATTAGTTTGGTAAAATACCTTAACTTTGACTCAAGAATTTCAGTTCACATTAAGTTCAATTTAACCCCTTTTGGTGACTCCTGAAGTTATAGATTCATTGATACTAAAATTTTGGCAGCGGTGGGATTCGAACCCACGCCTCCGAAGAGACTGGTGCCTTAAACCAGCGCCTTAGACCGCTCGGCCACGCTACCTTACATAAACGATTTCAAGGTCAAAAATATTTCGCCATCATTTGTAAATTTATAGTAATTAATTTTATGATATAACAAATATTAACAATACTACTTCTCAATATTAGGATTAATCAACCTTTTTGACCTCACAGATCACTAAACTTAAAATATTGAATCTCGTGGACCACTAAACCCCATTTTTTTTCCCACGGACCACTACAAGGATTTTTTTTTTAATAAGATTCTAAATATGAAATAGTATTTATATTGGGCCTTTTATAAAATTGCAACTAAATAATAATGGATTATGAATATAATAAAAAGGAGGAGAATCTCTAAGCTACAAGTACCTGGGCAATTACTTTTATATATAATATAATATTTTTTAGAGAACAATTGTTTAATAGCTGTCAATTATTACAAAAAATAACGTTTATAAAGCCCGGGTAGCTCAGTCGGTAGAGCATTGGACTTTTAATCCAAGGGTCCAGGGTTCAAGTCCCTGCTCGGGCGAAACATTTTAAAATGAATTACTTGAAAGAAAAGAAACGAGTTATCAAAACTGTTGTAGTAATGGCAGAGTAGGCATCTGTACAAAATAGTATCCTCCCCGGCGGGGAATCGAACCCCGGTCTCCCGCGTGACAGGCGGGGATACTGACCACTATACTACCGAGGACTTATAGTACCATTGTGAGCCGGATTTGTAATTTTCAGAAGTACTATATAGTATTAACTAAAAGTTTAAACCCACCCTTTGGGAGGGAATGGAAAAACACCCACCAACTTTTGAGTAACTGTTGACAACTTGCAGTACTTTATGACTTTTGGGAAACACTGCTTTAAGTTCTGTATGATATATCTGAAGGTATTATTACTATAAATGCAGGAGATTTATTAAAAGTTTATCCTCCCCGGCGGGGAATCGAACCCCGGTCTCCCGCGTGACAGGCGGGGATACTGACCACTATACTACCGAGGACATATTAGTACTTTCAAGTATAGATAATAGATAACAAATTATTAAGTACTTTAATACTAAAACCTTGGCAGCGGTGGGATTCGAACCCACGCCTCCGAAGAGACTGGTGCCTTAAACCAGCGCCTTAGACCGCTCGGCCACGCTACCTTATATTTATTCTATAAGGCCTTTTTGAAAATGCCTTATAACTAATTAGGTTAAACTTCTATTTATATGATTATTTGTTTATTATCTACAGATTTCTATATATTTGTTTTAAATTTACCGTCAGTTTAGAGTCAGACTAATTCAGAAAGATGGTTGTTATTATAAGACTATAAAGATTATTATTTAATTCAGTATAGTAGTAGAATTGATTTTTTTTATAAGTTTGTTCTATCAACAAGTCCAATGATGCTGGGCTCAAGAATAACCTATAAAGTTAGAAACAAATTGACAGGAATAATTCACAAGATTTTTCAAAAAAAATATTAATAACTATCAATATCGTTGTAGATAATAGAAATTGAAAAATAAATAATTCATTACGTTATTATTATAATGCAGTAAACACTCCGTAGATATGAAAAATACTTTACAAATTACTTACAAATAGAATCATCCAATGATCCAAGGTCACGATAGTATCAACGTAATCAATAATCAAAAAGCACAAAAAATAGCGAACTTGTGAGTCGGTGTGTGTTGTGCACGTTACATGCAACGACTGAACTCCTTCCCTAACTATTTTCAACCTTTTGGAGGGCGGGGAATTGAAAACACACCCTCGCAGTTACGCTAGGTTAGTGACAGGTTCTTTACTTTGCCAGTGCTAAAACAACATATAGTAAATTTCACGAAATGAAGTCTATATCTAAATTTAGTGTCCTAGAAGTAATTTTTAATATTCGTAATCAATAAATATATTTAAATTAATATTTAAACAATAAATTTAATTAATTCAAATGAATATATTAATGATTGTTAGAATTGTAGGTGTTTATTGATGTAGTTATTAAGATATAAAAAAATCCTATAATTTTAAGGACATTTAAAAAAAAAATGTATATGCAAGGAATAAAGCAAAAGTATGTTTTATTATTTTTTTTATATAATAAGTTCATATATAAGAAATCATTATTAATGTTTAAATTGGAATTAATTTAAAAGGTTGAAAGTTTAATACTTGCGAAGTTTTATGCACTGAAGTGTCATACTTTATCAAAAGCTTTTTTAACGTGTAGAACGTGTATATGCAAGGAATAAAGCAAAAGTATGTTTTATTATTTTTTTATATAATAAGTTCATATATAAGAAATCATTATTAATGTTTAAATTGGAATTAATTTAAAAGGTTGAAAGTTTAATACTTGCGAAGTTTTATGCACAGAAGTGTCATACTTTATCAAAAGCTTTTTTAACGTGTAGAAGAGATTGTCATTAGATTTGATATGATTAAAATTATATGTAATATCTTTACGATTCAGCACTGAAAGAATTGTGTTTGCGTAGAGAGCCAAATTGCTCATCATTGAGTATATCAAACGCAACCAGGTTACGACTAGACTAGTGATGGTGAACCTTTTGAGATCATTGTGTCAAAATTCGTAAAAAAACGTAGCATAACTCAAGTACTGTGTCACTTAATTTGCAACATTTCATTAGTGATAAACATTATATTTTTGTGGTGTGTCACCCATAATATCTCGCCGTGTCACCTCTGACTGACACGTGTGTCATAAGTTCGCCATTAGTCTAGTAAAGTAACGGCGAACACGGCTTTATTTCTTCAATTTTCTTGATATTTTCAATTTCGAGAACCTTTTATTGAATATACAATGTTAATTACCCAAAATTATTTTGCCAGAATGCCGTGACCAGGATTCGAACCTGGGTTACTACGGCCACAACGTAGGGTCCTAACCACTAGACGATCACGGCTTGTTATTGCATATTATTGTTGATCTAGATCAAAATCAAGTTCATTATAATTGACCGTTACTCTTAATTAGTGAAAGTGGTGAAGTGGACCATGAAGTATACGTAATTGACTTGGTAAGTCAATTTTTCATAGCTCTGGTAGCCGTGATCGTCTAGTGGTTAGGACCCTACGTTGTGGCCGTAGTAACCCAGGTTCGAATCCTGGTCACGGCAATGTGAAAGCATTGTCACGGCGGAGCATAAGTTTTACTAAATTATAATTTAACTAATTTGTGATTAATATTAATTAATTTACTTATTTTTCAGAGTTGTACCCGTACAAGGATTCCGCTGTGAATTCTAAGGAATTCTTGCAGAAGATCGTCGATGTTCTCATGGAGTTCGTGCGATCCACGAATGACAGAAAGGAGAAAGTGCTCGAATTCCATCATCCGGAGGAAATGAAGAAGATTTTGGATCTGAAGATTCCCGAGCAAGGACTGAGTCTGCAATCACTCATCGACGACTGCGCTACAACCCTCAAGTACCAAGTGAAAACAGGTGAGTGTAGACTTGTAATTGAATACTGCCGGAGGGTGGGTTATCTCCCCTGCAGAGTTCGCAGCATATGCACACTGTTATTATGTAAGCGGGTTTAGCGAGGAGGGTGAATCTCTAAATAGATGCGGTGACATTGTAAATAGTTCTCTCAGTGCAGATATAATTGAATCAGATATCTCACTCCCAGTTCTGTTAACAAGCTATTGAGGATGAGACGATGCCAACCCATACCGAACAAACACAATATATTTCATTGGCACCGGAAGTTGGGGGAGGTTTGACTTTATTCCTCCGCTGCGAAACAAAATCACGCACGCAATTGTGGCTCTATTGTGGTTATCACATGTATGGATACACTTAACAAGCTATTTTTTGGCGCATAATTTTGAAATAAAATTTCAGTCACGTTTTGAACAATATCATATATACTATAAAACTAATAGTAAAAATACAATATTTGTTTATTATAGATAATTTATGCTTCAAATTATATGTTATCAGTATTGTTATTTTTTATTACTATACAAATAATATATATTGTTTACATTTCATTAATCGTTTGCTTTTACAAGGTCTATAAATTATGTAACAAAAAACCATATGTTATCGTTTTGAATTATATACAAATATGAGATAAACTGTTAAAATAATTTATACCTATTGAAGTGCGACGTCCAGAACTTTTAGTTTAAACCAACCTTTCGAGCCTCATGGACCACTAAGCTGACTAAAACAAATAATCAGTATCTTTTTCAGTACACGAATGCATCTTAATTGTATATATATATATATATATATATGAACATATTATTTAATGTGTCACCCAAAATGTCTCGCCGTGTCACCAATGCAATACTTGAAAATACTATCATAATAATAATAATTTATTGGCCAAACATCAATATATAAGAAAAAAAAGTACATTCTATACATAAATAAATTCTAACATAAAATAAATATAGACTAGCCAAAAGCCTTACGACCGAGGTCTTTCCGCCCATACTATCATATATTTATAAAAATCAATTATTGTACTGTTGTGTCCAACCTTTATTATTACAATTATTATTGTTAATATAGTGTATTAACGAACTAGAGACATCTATAGCGTCTCTTAGTCGCCTTATTATATAAACATATACATATTCATAACACCATGATCCCAGTTCGATAAACTTTCATATAAACAAGAGAACCAAGCGTAAACAATCCCATCGGTACTACTATACCTTTACTCAAAATTCAAGTCCTTTTACAAACACATAATAATCTCAACAATTACAATCGTAATCGATCATCTTTTTCATATAAACAAATGCATAGGATTTTGTCCCGGTCTTATAATAAACAAAACCACCAAGGCCGAATACCGTGGGAACGCTTAATCATCAATATATACAAGCTACTCCCAATCACAACTATTAATAAGAATTAACTTTGACGAATAAAGTCTCAGCAAAACCTCGTAAGATGAGCATAGTCTCAGATGAATCTTAAATCGACCAAGTAACGAATAAAGTTATTTAAAACCAAACGAATTTTATTAAATTCCCAACAAATATGACTCCAGAACGACAACGCCAGACAATATTCTAGTGTGTCCAGAATTCCATTCCTGGGAAACAACAATACAAAGCACTTTGCTTAATTGTTATAGATAGTAAATGATCCTACCGATATGTGACTGGCAAACGGGTCGACAGGACCCAGCAAATGTGAAGGGGTTTCCAGGAGACTCATTACTGGAAGAAGAACAATACAAATGATTATTTATATGTCAAATATATGTTTTTTTCTAATTATTTCAAGTGATATTTTTATATAACAATACTTTTAAATAAAACCCTAGGATGGAAAAATATATGCAAAATAAAATTTTAAATAAATATTTATTGCTAATATGTAGCCCGGGTAGCTCAGTCGGTAGAGCATTGGACTTTTAATCCAAGGGTCCAGGGTTCAAGTCCCTGCTCGGGCGATTAATTTTATAATAAAATTCTTTAAAAAGAACAGTAGTTTGCATATTTTCAATTGTGCTATAAAAAATTGTAAATATAGAGCCCGGGTAGCTCAGTCGGTAGAGCATTGGACTTTTAATCCAAGGGTCCAGGGTTCAAGTCCCTGCTCGGGCGTATCGTTTTAAAACTAACAACTTGAAGGAAATGAAGGGACTTCTCAAAACTATAGTATTATTAGGTAGTAAGCATTTGTACAAAAGTATATCCTCCCCGGCGGGGAATCGAACCCCGGTCTCCCGCGTGACAGGCGGGGATACTGACCACTATACTACCGAGGACTTATAGTACGATTATGAGCTGGATTTGCAATTTTCGGAAGTACTATATAATAGTAACGAAAAATTTAACCTCTCCTTATAGGAGAAATCAAATGAGTAACTGTTGACAACTTGTAGCATTACTCTAAGTCCTTCCCAAAGTGTGGTACACGAGCCACCCGGGAGACGGTAAGAGTTTGGTGAACGCTATAACATGCAGCAGGTTTTGATTGCGCCTGGTGCAACAACATTTTGGGAAACACTTATATTTTAAATATTCGGAAGTACTAAACTATAGCAATGTTTCTCAATATTTTTGAAGAATGGATATGTGTACGAATATTTTTCACTTTGAGAGTTAATGTGTATAGTACTGAAGATTTATTAAAAGAGTATCCTCCCCGGCGGGGAATCGAACCCCGGTCTCCCGCGTCAATCAAATCAAATCAAAAATAACTTTATTTACAAACATAATTATTGACCCTTTTACAAATTTCTAAGGGTACAAGCACTCATCTTATTGCAAATCTTTCAACATATTTGTTTTGGGTTTGCATCGGTTTATA